TACAGGAAAGAAAAGGGAAACCATGAATGGATTTTCTTATGGTTATCATGGCTGGCGGTATTGCTCGTGGGCGCGTACGCACGAGGGCGACGACGCCGACGGAGTCGCGCAACATGGCGGCCATACTCCAGCTAAAAGGTTGACAGAAACATTTATAGCCTCCTTCTTTGATACTGGACATCCGTGTTATGGTCAATTGACACCTGTCAAAACAAGGTATCCGCTGACCGGCATCACGTGACCATATCGCTGGCTCAAGTTTAGAGCTCATCGAGGTCACGTGTTTTTTTAAAGTTGACCGCTGACCAAGTGCCGGGGTTTTTAATTAGATCTCGGGTTCATGTCAGATTAACTTATTGTAAACGGGGCGGGGTTGTTCGGAAGCCGGTTAACGCTAACCCAGGATTAAAGTTAACAGAAGTATAAATAGTTATTTTAAACAAATGCTTTTCACTGCTTTTGTTTTGTGTATTTTGAGATTATTCAAACTCAAAACTGAAGGCCAAACAATATCAAGAAAACCTCACTGCAAAGTTACAAAATTCAAATCAAAGTTCTCGCTTAACCTGGGTTGTCTTAATCGGGCTTTGAACAACCCGGCCCAGGAGCTCCGCTTTTGGGCTTGGCTAAATCTATATATTTTTTTTATCATATGACCCATACAGCCTCGCGCGCAATATCCTTGGAAAACCATAAGAGAAGAGGTCCCGTATGAGGGCCGTACGCGTCTCTCCGACGCGTACGGCCCTACTAGAAATGAGTACGGCAAAATCGATGCGAGTTAATGACAAAAACAATTTTGTTGTTGTAAAATTTTGTTCTTTTCAAAATGAGTGATGAAAGTGAATATTCTGAGAGCGAATTTTACAATCCAGACGAATTGTCCGATGCAGAACTACTTCAGTCGCCAACCCACTACGAAAGCAAAGAAAGAAATTCAACACTTGTCACAAATGAAGAAGTTCACAACTTTCTCAGAAGCCAACCACAAGCAAACAGACGGTCAAGAAAATGATTTTCCCGGATGAACTGTCCGATAATTAACCTTTGGAATAAGCAAATAGTCTTGAGGCGAAAGTTCTTTCAGTGGAGAGCATCAAAGAATTCATCGTGGGTCAAAAGCAAGAAAACTACGTGAAGAAAAAAAAGTACGATATAAATGCTTTCTTCGAGTTTCCACAGTTTCTGGGAGAAGTTGGTTAAACCAGAGACATTACAAACATACCTTGTGCACAGTAGGATAAATTACTGTGCAGTTTCTACATCAGTGTTGTTTGAAGAGACAAAACTGAGTACGAACACAAGTTCACTACCGTACAGTTCAACCAGATAATAAAACTCTCTTGTGTTTAATAGTGTAATTTCCTCCACACAGCTAAGCCAGCAAAATCAGTAAACCCAGGCACTGTTTGCGGAGCCAACATCAGTGTGATTAATATTCAGTTGCTGGTTCTCCCTTGTTCAAGAGAATCCAAGAGGTCGAAAAAAAGCTTGAAACGACGCCGACATTTTCTTTAGTCTTTAGATGAAGAAGATTTGTGAACAATTTCAGTGAAGCGTAAAGCGAACTTTTGTGACTCGCTAAGTTTTTGATGGTTTTGACATATTTTCGACAGCTTTATGTCAACTTTCTGTTGACTTTTTAGCATGAATTTTACTATTGTGGACTTCATTGAAAAACAAAAATTAGAAACTGAGTCGTGCTTTTCGATGAATTGCAAGTTTCTTGTTCGAAGCGAAGAAATAAATGACGAGTTTTTATTGTAAAATCTTTTCTGTAGTTGTTCCGCGCGCGGTCATCTGAGGTTATGTAATCGCGTCCTATTTAGGTTCAAACATGATTTTCAAAATTTTCAACACTTAGTGGTCATATGACAAAATGCTTATTGACTGAGTAAGGTCGGGCCGAACGGGAAAGTATTTGGCTCAAGGTCAGGACGTACGGACTTTGAGTTAAATATTTTCCTGTTCGGCGCTCCCACTCAGTCAATAAGTACATATTATTATATAGAAACTCGTAAAATTAATACGAGACCACATCTGGGACTTGGGTGGCGTATTTTCCATATCCTCACAAGTGACGATGTCGATGATTTCACTGATATCAAGTTTGTCTCTTAAATTGTACTTAAATTCGTTGGTGTATCATCGAAACACCTTCGGGTGTTATTCGAAAGTCTTCCGCAATCTTCGGCAATCTTCTGAAATCTTCGGTAATCTTCGGAGCTTTTTCGGAAAATGTTCGGCAATGTTCGTGTGACCCTCGGACAAGCTTTGGAAAATCTTCGGAAATCTTCGGAAAGTGGTCAGAAATCTTCGGAAAATCGTCAAAAATGCGGTCATCAGCATGTCTACACAATAAAAAGAACATTTCACGTTAGCTCGAAGATATGAATTTTATGTTTTCGTTGCAAGAATTATTGTTCTTGCCACTCGAACATAAAATTTATATCTTCTCGCCACCATGTAATATCCTCTATAAATGTCACTCAAACTGAAAACTATGTCCCCTATTAAATGAGAGTCTCCCAGGCCTAGCTGGCAACATGCATACGTCAACATGGTCATTTCTTTCAGGGGAACAAGAGACATTTTTGATCTTCATCGATACAGGGAGCGTTTCTGTGGAGATTTTGGGGAACAACCTATAAATGGAGACCAGGAGAGAAAATGCAGAATTATAAAGGCTCCTAGGGAAAATGTAGCCTCCCTCCCTGAAACGATCTCATAAATAGTGAACTGAGCTTGAGAATATTCACGGTCTACATGAATGGAACTGTTAGAAAAAGTGAATCTTTTACTTGCCCTAGACTACAGGGCAGCTTCTACCCTTTTAGCAAAGTTATTACCAAATATACCTTTCCCCAGGGAAGTTAGAGTTATTGTGGTGTTATGACATGCACCCCGCCTGGTTAGCTCAGTTGGCAGAGCGCTAGACTGTCCCTGGAAGGCCCACTAAATAATAAACTCGAAAGTATTTACTTCCTTAATGCATGGAACTGCTACAAAGTTTAGTTAAAACTTTCATTACCGCCTGCCACAGAGTTGCTTCCTCCATTACATCTAAGTTATCACCAAATATAATATGGCGTTTTCCAGGGAGATTGGAGTTAACCGGGCGATCTGACATGCACCATCGAGTTCTCCCGCACTCTGCCCTCTGCACAGGATCCAGACGTTTGTGGACAGGCGCAGGGACAGTTCAGCAATTGAGAAAATTAAAACCTTCAGTGATGTTACTTTAACAATTCTGCTTACATCTCCGTACTGTTAAAAACCTGAGACAACTGACCGTTTTCCTGGGGTTGAAAATCGGAAATCACATGGGACTATTCCGATATTATTTTTCGTAATCTTGAATATGAAATTACACATGTCGTTTCGCTCGTTTGACGCTCGAAAACAAAACCAGTCATTCTTAGGAGTCTAACAGTAGAGCACCTGCTTGGCAAGTTATAAGTTGCCTTTCCAAACTGTCAATGATCCATGTAAATTAAATTTGGCTTGATCTTACGTCTAAACACAAATAGCCATCTATCAGATCAGCATGGCAAAAGTAGACTTTACTGAAGATGGACAGCAGAAAACGTTCGAAGACTTTGCTTGTTCGCCAGATTTAACTGCTGGACAGCACGGCCAGTTGACATTTACATCAGTTTATAACTCTTTTCTGTCCGTCACTGCATTTCTTGGGAACGCTCTGATCTTAATTGCTCTTCACAAGGAGTCTTCACTTCATCCGCCGTCCAAACTCTTGCTTCGTAGCCTTGCAGCAACTGATCTCTGTGTTGGACTTATTTCGGAGCCTCTCGCTGTTGTCTATGCGATATCTGTAGTCAATGAACAGTGGAATATTTGTCCTCACCTAACAGTAGCAAGTTTTATAACAAGTTATATCTTGTGTGGAGTGTCGGTCGAAACTATGACTGCAATAAGCGTGGACAGACTTCTCGCCCTGTTGCTGGGACTTAGATACAGACAAGTTGTAACTTTAAAGCGAACCTACGCGATAGTTTTTACCTTATGGGTTTCTCCCGCTCTCTTTTCAGCAATGTACTTTTGGAATCCCCTTATAACCATGTGGTATAGTATCATAGGTATATTTCTGTGTCTTATAATCTCCATTTTCTCTTACACAAAGATTTTCTTCACCCTCCGTCATCATCAAAATCAAGTACAAGGCCATGTTCAACAACCGAACCAATCAAATCAACTGAACATAGCGCGATACAAAAAGGCAGTATCCACTGCAATATGGCTGCAACTGACGCTGGTCGCTTGTTATCTACCCTTTAGTATAGCAGAGGCATTGAAGGCTAATAGTGGACTATCTTCATCTGTTTATCACCGTTGGATCTACACAGGTTCTTTAGTTTTCTTAAACTCTTCATTAAACCCGATTCTTTACTGTTGGAAGCTAGAAGAAGTTAGACGAGCAGTGAAGGACACAATCAGACAGGTGTTTTGCCATATTTTGTGAGTTAGGTCTCGTAGACCAATGCCATGAAAATGGTGGATGAAGTTCAAGACTTAGATTATTAAAAAGTTCTCGTAAACATTGCCTTAATTTAAAAGTGGTGCTTCGGTACTCATTTTAATATATCAGTATGAACTGTTTCTTTTGCAATAAGATAGCCATCGAGAAAGTTTTCATCATCGTTGTAAATAATTGTTTTAAATGACGACTTATAATAATCACCTCGAGTTCAGCCATACTCTGGTGTTTGAATAATTCATCTTAAGAGTGCCTGCCTGTAAAAATCACACAAATTCTTAATTTCGCGGAAAGGGTCGAAAATTCGATTTCGCTCATTTTCCTATGGTAGATAGGCTAGGGCATGACAAAAACTACTGGATAGTTTTTTTGGCAAAACATCCTTTTGTTTCAAAGAAATATGCAAATTACTGATAATTTCGAAATGTTATAACCTTATTTGCTGTAAAAGGCAGGTCCAAAAGCCGATCTGACGTGTTTCTGTCACCATTCGTCGCATGTAAAG